GGTTGGGAGTTTGTGAATCTTGGAGACCAACAGAGTTTTGGCATCAAGACCGCAGGACTGGAGGAGAAAGCAACAGCGTGCCAGATGCTGGTGAGATGGCAATCCACCTAGCATTTAAAAATGAACACTTACTGTCAAACTTTAAGATGCATTAAGATCAAAATGAATGTTTGAGGAACAAATACTGTGGCTCTTGATGTTTTTGGCAGGTGCTGTTTTCCCAAAGAGTCTGGAAATGTTCGAAAACCATTACATTTCCTTGTTTAAAATTAGTTTGAATAAAATAATGCATTTAAAATAAATTAATCTAAATGTATTTTAATGAAATGTTTTGTTTGTGTTGCGGTTCCTCAGGTGTGCTATGCTAAAGAGCTGAAGGAAGGTTTTGTCGAGTACACAGAGCAAGTCGTCAAGCTGATGGTTCCTCTGCTGAAGTTCTACTTCCATGATGATATCCTTCATGAGACTACAATCACTTATATTCCGTATGATCTTGCAGTGTAATGGTCAAAAGTGTTCTTTCTATAACTAATGCTGGTACTAGAATGCAGGACAGGGTTATCTTTTCTTCTAGTTTAACTTGAAGTACTAAAATAACTAAGTGAAATAAAATGTAAGAACTATATAGGTACTATATTTAAAGATCTGTAATAAGTGACACAAACAATCACAAACTAAGTCATTTAAATGCATTGAAATGTATTTATATTCATATGTTATAAGTAATTTATATAAATAAATTTTAAATATAAAAATAAGAACTAGTTCGAAATATTAAATATGGTATATCAGGAAAAAATATGTAGGTGCTTGATATGCTTTCAGAGTGTGTAACAGGCAGTTTAGCAGAAATCTCCAGTATTGGCTGATTACTTGGCCTTCATGCAATAAATTCTGGTTATCACTGGTGTTTTATTATCATTGAGTCTTATAGTTTTTAATTTTTAATGTTGAATCATTTTATTAAATTTTTTATACATGTATATAAATAACACAACACTTCATTTCAGGCAATGAAAGTGTTTTTAATGTATTAATGTTAATATCGGTTTTAGTGAGCCACAATGATCTTGATGGTTATCAACTTCTCTGTTTTAAAGTCTTGATCAGAAAAGATTTCTCACGCTCCTGAGACTTTGTTAGGATCCTTAACATGTTTTTCACGTGTGCGTGTGGCGGCGGCTGAGTCTATGCCTCTCCTGCTGGAATGTGCTCGTGTCAGAGGCCCAGAATATCTCTCACAGATGTGGCACTTCATGTGTGACGCCCTCATCAAATCCATCGGCAATGAACCCGACTCAGATGTGCTGTCAGAAATCATGCACTCGTTTGCAAAGGTAGTTCACATGTAAGCTAGGTCAGTGTTTATTCTGCAGTTCACTGGGGGTTTGTACTGTTAGAGCTGAAAATGCTGTTTGTTCTCCAGTGTTTGTGTGCGTTGTTATAATTCAGTGTGATCTCTCTTAGTGCATCGAGCTGATGGGAGACGGATGCCTGAACAATGAGCACTTTGAGGAACTGGGAGGCATTTTAAAAGGAAAACTAGAGGAGCACTTTAAAAACCAGGAGGTCAGACAAGGTGAGTCGCACAGGATTTTTTTTTATACTCTGAGGCTGCATTTTCATGAGGATAAAAATATAGGTAAAAACGGTAATGTGATATTTTAATATAAAACCACAGTTTTCTGTGTGAATGAATTTTAATGCAATTTATTCCTGTGATCAAAGCGCCATTACTTCAGTCTTCAGTGTCACGTGATCCTTCAGAAATCATTCTAATTTGCTGATCAATAAACATTTATGATTAGTGCTGAAAACAGTTGTGCTGCTTCATATTTTTTTGGTAAATTGTTTTTCAGAATTCTTTGAATAGAAAGGTCAAAAGAACAACATTTGAAATTGAAGTCTTTTGTAACACTATAAATGTTTTTACTGTCACTTTTAAGCAATTTAATATGTACTTGCAGAATAAAAGTATTGATTTCTTTCAAAAACACATCTGAGGAAAAAATTCAGCTCTCTCTCTCTCTCTGGATTCTTTTTATTTTTATTTTTTTCTGGATTTTTATTTTTTTTCTGTTTTAATTATTTTTAGTAATTAAAATGCATATCTAATTAATTGAAATCATGAAATGCTTACAATTATACAAATGACTTTGCTCTGACTAATGATAGCCAAAAATGTACAGCATATAGTAAATTTGCCAGACTATTAAGTTATTCTATAGCAATTGTGCTCATTTTATTCATATTGAAGTCACATTTTCAGAAAATAAAGTTTATCCTTGAATGTAGGTTTGAACACTGTTAATTGGCTAATTAGGTGTCATTGTCAGCCAATTGCAATCTTCTGATGTTTCAATTGTTCTAGCTGTTGTCACCAGTTTTCATCTGAAAAGTCATACAGGTTTGTGGAGGGTTTTTTTTAACTAATGGTTTTTGTTCTCTGCAGCCAAACGACAAGATGAAGACTATGATGAGCAGGTTGAGGAGACGTTACAAGAAGAGGTGAGCAGCTCATCTCGCATGTTTCTTCTAAGTGATTCTTTGGTTTAGATCACTAATTGTGAAGCTCCTTGTGATCTCTCTGTTTAGGATGACAACGACGTCTACATCCTGACCAAGGTGTCGGACATCCTGCACTCGATCTTTAGCAGTTACAGAGAGAAAGTTCTTCCGTGGTTCGAGCAGCTGCTGCAGCTAATCGTCAATCTGATCGTAAGTACTTAGATCTGCAGTTAAGCTCTGTTTTTAACTGGCTATAGACTCTTTATCCACGTATTGTTCCTTTAGTGTCCTCACAGACCCTGGGCGGACAGACAGTGGGGTTTGTGCATATTCGATGACGTAATCGAACACTGCAGCCCATCTTCCTTCAAATACGCAGAGTACTTCCTGCGGCCCACGATGCAGTCGCTGTGTGACACCAGACCGGAGGTGCGACAGGCGGCCGCGTATGGCATTGGCGTCATGGCTCAGTTTGGAGGAGAAAACTACAGGCCTGCTTTCACAGGTTGGACATCCTTTGTCACTTGCAACCTTTGTTGGGCACGATTAGTCCCAGTAGGACACTATGAAATCAGTATAATTTGTTCCCAAATTCCAGTTTATTGATTTAAGTAGGCAAAAAGCATGTCTAATTCATTCAAATCATGCAACTTGTTTAGTTTAACAATTTATTAAGTTTAACAAATTACATTTTTGAGGCCCTGTGAAACCAGTTTTATGGTTTTACTTTTATTATTCTGAAAATAAAACCCCCTCTTGGGTTCCAGTTTAATTACATTTTTAGTAATCAAAAACCATGTCTTAATAACTGGAGCTCTTGCTAAATCTTATAAGTTTTGATTTTAAGTTTAAAAAAATAAAATAAAATAGGGCCCCAAGAAATCGGTTTAGTTTTTTTTTTTTTCTTTGTTTTTCTAGATTCTGTTTTAATGGTTAAATTTAAATTTTAGTATTCCAAAAAGCATGTCTTAATTCATTCAAAACATGGAACTTGACTACAGTTTAACAGTTTATTAAAAGTTTTTAGGGCCTTGTTAAATCAGTTTTATTTCACATTTTTTAAGTTTTTTTTCACCTGGATTCCAGTTTAATGGTTACATTTTTAGTTGGGGATGCACGAGATTGGATTTTTGCCGATATTTTACAACTTGTTTTAGCCGATAGCTGATGCCTATATCGATATATAATTCCTTTTGTTTGGAAAAACACCAACTTTCTCCTGTGCAGAGGTTATAAACAAATTATTTTAAATTGTTAGTTTTGAGCAAAAACTTACTTGTTAGAAGAAAACATTATTAAAGTTATTTTTATAATTACATTGAAAGCTTTGAAAATAACTGATAAAATCAATCACTGCTGAAAATCAATTACTGCTGATTGATGAAGTAATTTTAACATTTTATCCATTTCTTTCCTAATCAAGTCCAATCAGTATAAGCAAACACAGCTGGACTCAAATGAAGGTGTAGAACCATCTCAAGGATGATCAGAAGAAATGGACAGCACCTGAGTTAAATATATGAGTGTCACAGCAAAGGATCTGAATACTTAGGACCATGTGATATTGCAGTTTTACTTTTTTTAATAAATCTGCAAAAATGTCAACAATTCTGTGTTTTTGTGTCAATACGGGGTGATGTGTGTACATTGAGGAGAAAAATTTACTTAAATGATTTTAGCAAATGGCTGCAATATAACAAATAGTGAAACATTTAAGGGGGTCTGAATACTTTCCGTACCCACTGTATATGTAGGTGACAATGTGTGTGTGTGTGTGTGTATATGTGTGTATATATATATATATATATATATATATATATATTTACAAGTGTCATGTTTGTTGTTTTTATTCATGTAAATTATAGCTTCTGACCTTTTACAAATGTATGACATTAATTACTGCTTTATTCAGAAACACTATCTGCGTGAACATTTGGGAGGCGTTATGCAAATCTTCCCACATAGTGAGGTAGATATGTGGGGACGTGTTAGAACGAGCTGTTTTAGGTAGGTGTGGCTGACTCTAAACTTTTATAAAGAGAATCTCTTTGGATTTGAGACTTTAGTCTTTGCAACTTTACAGACCTTCTTTATGCACCAAGAGCTTGTAACACTCCAAAGAGAAAGGAAAAATTGAAATCGCATCATATGACCCCTTTTAATGTTATCTGTGGATGTTACTTTTCGTTTTATTACAAGTAGGCCTACAATGCCCCCTAAGTAAATAAAACGCCTTACCGGACGGGCATTAGAATCCGGGGAGGATGTTGCTGTTGCTGCAAGTGCTAGTGACTGACGCTATCACACACCGGACACCTCATTCTTGCACATGCATCCTCATTAAATGCAGTGAATCTAATCACCATTCAGGCAAAAGTTTGCTTCAAGAATAGGTTTGTCCGACTTGAAGCGGCGCTGCACAGACCGATCGGTGTATGACATCAAATAACCGCAAGAGCTAGAGAGCAAATGAATCGCTCTCGCTGTACTTTGATGTCAAACACCGACTGGTCTGCACAGCACCGCTTCAAGCGAACACACCTTACAAGCGAGCACTGCTGACGTGATCGTATTGCCAGCACAACTTGAGCACATGCAAGTAGGGCTGGGTATCGTTCAAAAATTTTCGATACCGATACCTTGACTTCGATACCGGTTCTTGAACTATACTTTTTTCAATACCAATTTTATGAAATCTATTTGAACAAGATTACATTATCTAAAAAAAAACTTGGTTTTATTTTTCAGCTTGTTGATGTTTATACAGACTCAGAGGACTGCACAAAGGAACAAAATGTAACAAACACAAAATCAGTGCAAATAGTTTTAATAAAGCTCAAATAGTCTTCAGTTTACACATCTGTTAGCTACATTTACACTAGTGCGTGTGACAGAATCACCTAGCTCAGACAGAATCGTCATTTCTATTCATTTTCTACTGATTTACTGATAAGCATTAGCAGTTTCTAGTGCTGTCTGCCTGTGCTCTCTTCCATGATCGCTGCTCTGACTCACGGCAATCGGAAGTTATTACAAAAACTTGATGGTAGTGCAAATGATTTATTCTATTCCCACTAATCTCATTAATACTTTCATTTCAAATTCTTACATTTGATCTATAAATTCAACTGACACTGAAAAATACAACTGCATTAAATAATTATGAGATTATTTTAAATATTTTTTTAATATACAAACAAGAAATTATGGTGGAAATGATACTTTTCAACTAAATTAAAACACCAGTAGGTGCCAGTAGTGAGTGTTTAATGAGTGAGTCATTGAGTCGTTCATTCAAACGATTCGTTCAAACAGCAGATTCATCAGATGTTTATGCATGGGCTAATGAAACTTTGACTCAACCGATTCGTTCAAAACACGGAATCAATCAGCAATAAAATCGGCTGTTTGTTGTGAGATGCGCTGTTTCTGCCTAAAATGTTAGTGACCTAATATTATTGTATTTGCTTATTGAACTGTTTAAAGAACTATTAAACGGTCATAATGGTGAAAACATTGGGTGATGTTGCCTAACTAACTGTATTTTAAATATAAAAACCATTTTGAATTTTTACCTCAGGATGCTGAGTTTCTTGGTGTTGCCCTAACTAACTGTATTTTAAATATAAAAACCATTTTGAATTTTTACCTCAGGATGCTGAGTTTCTTAGTGTTGCACGTTTTGATTTCTCCTGGAGAGGCTGCGTGAGCCTCACCTCAAGCAGCACAATCTTATACTGTCAATAGATGCATTATATACATTAGATGTCCACTATTCGCCACTTATTCGAAATGTAATAAAATCAGAATAATATTGCGTTTTGGTGTTTACATAGTTATTTTTGGTTACTGATGTTTTAATCATGTTACTTGTCTAGCGTTAATGAGTTAAAGGGGTCATATGATGCGATTTTCATTTTTTCCTTTCTCTTTGGAGTGTTACAAGCTCTTGGTGCATAAAGAAGATCTGTAAAGTTGCAAAGACTAAAGTCTCAAATCCAAAGAGATATTCTTCATAAAAGTTAAGTCAGCCACACCCTACCTAAAACGGCTCGTTTGAACACACCCCCACATATCTACCTCACTATGTGGGAAGATTTGCATAACGCCGCCCAAATGTTCACGCAAAGAAAGAAGGCGTGACTTTTATTCTCGCTGTAGTATTGTTGCCGCTGCCGCCATGTCGCGAAGACGCTGTGGGTTTCGTTGTGAAAGCGAAACTACTTTGTTTGGTCTTCCAAAAGAGGACGATATCCGCTTCGTCATGCCTAGAGCTGATCCGTGCTGGTCGCTGAGGAAATACTTCAACTTAGTGCTGTGGATCACCGGATCGGCTTTCACCGCTCCTTCGCCGGGACCGCCGTTCTCGACCCCAAGAAAGTTTATTTATAAAGTTAATATAAATTTATATTCTATTTATTTTTAAGCTTTTCTTCTTCTGGATTTATGATTTAATACAAATGATCAAAAATTATGGTAATAAAAGGCATGGAACACGAACGGCTTATTTAATCTTTAAATATAATCAAATTAAATGTAAAATTCCTAATGCAGAACATGTAGACTTCATATTTCAGTAGCAGTCTTTTTTAACTTGATTTATTCATCCCAAATCCATGAAATTCTGCATTATACAGTAACTATTGTTAACATTTTATATTACATTAGATATATTACATTATTTACATTATACTGTATGCATGTTGTGATTTGTTTTTCCAGAGGCTGTCCCTCTGCTTGTTGGAGTGATCCAGTCTCCAGACTCCAGAGCTAAAGAAAATGTCAATGCCACTGAGAACTGCATCTCTGCTGTGGCCAAAGTCATGAAGTACCGCCCAGAGTGCGTCAACGTCAATGAGATCCTCCCTCATTGGCTGTCCTGGCTGCCACTCAATGAGGATAAAGAGGAAGCTGTCCACACGTTCAGCTATCTCTGTGACCTCATTGAAAGGTGAATGTCTGTTAGCTGATATGAACGCTGGGAGTTTTGAATGCAGGTTTGTGATTTGACTTTAATGTCCATTTCTTTTCGCAGTAACAATCCCATTGTTCTTGGACCTGACAATACGAACCTTCCCAAGATTTTCATTATTATCGCTGACAGTGTTGCGAATGAATCGATTAAAGGCGAAGATGGCTGCAGCAAACGATTGGCCAACGTTATTCGTCAAGTACAAGTAGGTTTCATGTTATTTAATATGAACAAACTGCTTTATTATATACAGGCAAACTAACACCAGTAGAAAGATTGCAGAATTGCAAAATATATATTTTTTTTTTGTGTGCTCAAAAAATAATGCTTTCTACAAAGCTATATAGTTTTGTTTTTATTAATATTTCTTGTGGAATATTAGTGTTTATCTTATGTTGGCACTTATAGATTGTAGGGATGTAACGATTACCGGTTTGACGATAAATCGTGATAAAATACCCCACGGTTAGTATTACCGTTTCATATTTTAATTATCACTATAACCGTATTTGATTACCGCGATTTGAACAACTGAGGATAAATACTGTACTGCACAGGGCTCCAGTGTGCGACCAAATGGGCGCATTTTGAGAATTTTTTTTCTGCCGGTGCGACTAAATTTTGTGTGTGGTCGCACTGGTGCGACCACCGCATTGTTGAACTCATAAGCACTGCATTTCTGTTGCATATGAGAAACATCAAACGGCAAAAAAAACTGAAAGCATAACGAAACCGCGCAACTCGTTTGAGCTGCGCAGCGCTTTGAGTGTAGAGCCTGGTTTATACTCGCCGCGTCAGGAGCGCGAAGCTGCGTGCAGCAAAAATGCACTTAAACCAAAGGTGAACATGTTGGTATTCTTGTGGGACAAAAACATGCAAGCACTGTCACCAAGTTTCGTTTTACTTTTCGTTTTGTTTTCATTTTGAAAAGCTTGTTATCTTTGCTGTTTACTTCACATTATGCTATGGAGGCTCTCTTTTTTTATTTATTTGATTCCTCAGTGTTTGCTAAACGTTCTGTAATTTATTAGTCGGTATATACTGTAATACAGCATGTGGTGTATTTGCCATGCCTCGTCTTGTTCGTTTTTGTTAATACTAAACGTTTTATAAGCTAGTTTGTCATTGTATCTTACTGTTTTATTGTTGTTATGCTTTTTAATTAAGAATAACAATGAATCCATCTTTTGTTTTAGTCTTAAAAAGTGAAAGATCATTTATTAATCAATTATCATTTTGACTTGACCCTTTTCTTTATTTAAAAGCTGAAATGTGAGGTTTACCATTTATGAAACTTTTTCAAAGCTTTATTTGAACATTTACATTAGATATTTGAACATGCTATTAGATAAACTGTTGTCAGTCGTGTTGTCATTTAAAATCCGGACATCATTGGCAACGTTATTGTTTTAGTTATGCAAACAAAAACTAATTTTTTTTGTTTGTTGATTTTAAATGTAAAACTTGGTGAAATGATTTGTGTGTCAGTACATTTCCAGCACATTTTAACAATACCATGATAATACTGATAACCGTGATCATTTTGGTCATTGACCGGTTGATGAAAAACAAGCTTATGTGGATTCTACACATTTAAACAATAAGGTATCTAGTATTATTTATGGAGCAGATAAATACATATAATCATTTATTAATCAATTATCATTTTGACTTGACCCTTTTCTTTATTTAAAAGCTGAAATGTGAGGTTTACCATTTATGAAACTTTTTCAAAGCTTTATTTGAACATTTACATTAGATATTTGAACATGCTATTAGATAAACTGTTGTCAGTCGTGTTGTCATTTAAAATCCGGACATCATTGGCAACGTTATTGTTTTAGTTATGCAAACAAAAACTAATTTTTTTTGTTTGTTGATTTTAAATGTAAAACTTGGTGAAATGATTTGTGTGTCAGTACATTTCCAGCACATTTTAACAATACCATGATAATACTGATAACCGTGATCATTTTGGTCACTATAACCGTAATAAGAAATGTTCATACTGTTACATTCCTAATAGATTGTTGTTAAAAATGGCTTTAATGATTTCAAACTATTTTTTACTACAGTAGTCAACATTTGAAGTGGATCAAAACCTTTCATCAAAGTTGTCCTAAAATAATAATTCCTTACATTTATATAGCGCTTTTCTGGGCACTCAAAGTGTTTTACATAGAAGGGGGGATCTCCTCATCCACCACCAGTGTGCAGCATCCACCTGGATGATGCGACGGCAGCCATAGTGCGCCAGAAAGCCCACCACACACCAGCTTATTGGTGGAGAGGAGACAGAGTGATGAAGCCAATCAGCAGATATGGGGATGGTTAGGAGGTCATGATGGTCAAAGGCCAATGGGAGAATTTGGCCAGGTCACCGGGGTTACACCCCTACTCTTTTTCAAAGGACATCCTGGGATTTTTAATGACCGCAGAGAGTCAGGACCTCGGTTTAACGTCTCATCCGAAAGACGGTGCTTTTTGTCAGTATAGTGTCCCCATCACTACACTGGGGCGTTAGGACCCACACAGATCACAGGGTGAGCACCCCCTGCTGGCCTCACTAACACCTCTTCCAGCAGCAACCTAGTTTTCCCAGGAGGTCTCCC